CCTCTCCTCTGCCCTGGTGGCTGCCCTTATTTCTGGAGCTCGTTAGCCCATGCCAGTGTTAGGTCTGGGAGAAGGGGGAGGAGAGGAGAAGTCCGCGGGAGGAATGGAGCGGAGTAGACGGCCGTAAAAGTAGTGGTCAGCGGTGGCTTTATTCCGGGACTGCGGGGAGGGGCCCCCCGCCGCCGGCCCCGGGCATTTCTGTACCCGGGGCAGGTGGTGTCTCCGGGAACACGGGGAGTGGAGACTGGCGCGCTGGAGTCTGGCGAGCTCTCTCTCTCTGGCGAACTCTCTCCGGCGAACTCCTCGGCGAACTCCTCGGACACGTGGCGTGGGGGATCTAAATAGCTTAAGCTTAGGGCAGTGCCCCAAAGGCCATTAGGGATGCACAGATATCCCATTGGCGCACAGGTCCTTAAGGATGGGGATACAGAATCACAATCAAGTCCATAGGGGGCAGGGTGGGGGAGGAGTTTAGCTGCAGCCTTTTCTGGCTACAGTGTTTTATCTGGGCCGGCAACTCTTTCACCAGAAGGCTGATGAGACACTCAGCTCGGAAGCTAGTAACCTGTTGAAGTGACACAGCTCGTAAGAAGCAGGGCAGAAGTATTCATGCCCACAGTCCCAGCCCCCGGCTCCGCGATGGGGTCCCAAAACCCTCATAGAGACAGGAGAGTGCTTCTCACTGCCACCTGGTGGCCAGAGAGGGAGAAATCCCCAACAACCCGCTCTGGGGACTGCTGCCAGCACTGTGAGGAAGCCAGCCTCTGAAGGCGATGGACCTCACAGAGCCAGGTTTGCCCAAGTCTGCTGGGCAGGCGGCGTTTAAGACTTTAACCAAGTCCAGCCCAAAGCCAGCCTCAAAATCTGCTTCCAGAAGGGCCAAGGCCTTGCATTTCATGGGCACCAATGACCACTGGGAGTCAGGCTCCCAGATGCTGCCTCTGACCTAGGGGAACCAGGAGAGGCAGAATCCTCTTTTCCTTGAGAGTTCAGCCAGAAATCCAGAAATCCGCCCACCCACCAGCCTCCGTGGTCCGCAGGTGGGAGCTCGGTACAAACGCACATCCTCAGGCGGTACCCAACACCTGCAGACCCAGACCCACTGGGGCTGGAGACTGTGTTCTTTCAAACCTTCTGGGTCCTGGCCACCCGCAGGCCTGAGCTTCCCAGTTAAGGGGCCTTGTGCAGAGTGGGGCAGAGCAGCCAGCGAGGGAAGAGCATCCTTGTCCCTTGAGGGTGACAGGAGACAGGAGACCTGAGGAGTAAGGGCCGTGCTGAGCCTCCCTGACCCAAGAGCTTGTTGTACAGATGGCTGCTGCAAGCCAATGTCACAGGCAAGGCCGCTGTGCACTCTGGAGCTGTCGCCTTGCAGCCTGGGCCTCCAATTAGGATCTGTGGTCCGCAGGGATTAGGAACAGGGAAAGCTGAGTGCCAAGCTGTCGCTGTGCCCTTGGGGTACAGAGGGGCAGCCTCTATTGCAGACACCTCACTCTTTCCATTGGGCAGTGTCTCCTTCCCCTGTCGGCTAAGCCACAGAGCACTCTGTTATTTCACTTGGATGGGACACGAGGAACCTGAATGGTGGTTGCTGGCTAATGCTTCATCCAAGCCGTGCTTTCACCTGAGGGTGAGGGGATGTATGTTCAGGATGGGGCAGAGGTGTGTCAGTCCAAAGCTATAGGAGATATACTAGGAAATCAGTCACACAGTCTAGATCCAGCCACCTCTGAAAAAAACTCTATGATCACATGAGGCTTTGGGGGACATCTAGACACAAACTGTAACACCATCCGTTATTCACTAGGCCTGGGCCACTTTCAAAGGCAAACACCATGTGTCCTTTGTGAAGGACAAAGCTGCAAGGTGAGGGTGAATGCTGGGCAGGACAGAGGCACAAAGGGCAGAAAGGATGGAGCTGGGGCCTCCTGAGTATCCCAGTCCAGAAGACAGAAGCCAAGCCTGGGCCAAGCAGAGAGCTGGGCCTGCTCTCCTGTCTGTCCTGCGGTGAGCCCTCCCTGGGTCTCCCATGGGTACACACTCTGCCCCAGTACTGTGCGCTGAAGCAGCCTGTTTTCCTCTTTGAGCAGGAACTAGCTTGGTATTTCCAGTTCCTCGTGAGTACCCTGACCAAACCACAAATGCTCAGCAAATGTTGACTGCATGAGTAGCTCAATGTCCACGTGCAGGGAGCCCCAAGTGTGCTGCGGAAACGACTGATTAAGGCTTTTTTTTTTTTTTTTGGTCTTTTTCCTTTTTATTGGTACTGGGGATCGAACTCATGACTGCCTGCTTGCAAGGCAGGTGCTTATGCCACTGAGCTAAACCCCCAGCCCTGATTAAGGCTCATTCTGAAGCTGTACAGACACGTGGGAAATGATCACAGCTGTGTTACAAGTTGCATCTGTCTGTAAAGTGTGTGTGTGGGGTGAATGACAAGGGAACAAGGGGAAGTGGAAAGTGGCTTATGCAGGGCTGGTGGGTTTGTCAGAGGCTTCTTTCTTGTCTGTTCTTTGTTGTGGGTTGTGCAGTGCACATGGAAACCATTTTTGCCTCCCCAAAGGGCAATTCAGTTTCATTCTTTTGATGCTCAAGCCCTCTACTCACCTCGTTTACTCAGCTCTTATCTCCTTCAAATTCATTTTTGCTTCCTTGCACAGTGCTGGGTGCTACAGCTGCATGCAGGGGAAGTGGCCGCACCCTCTGCGTGGTGATGGTCTCAATGGCAGCGCACAGGGACAGCACTGAGCTCCACACTGCAGCAGCACCACGTCCTCCCAGCCGCCGACCTCTCTCCACTGTGCAGTATCGGCGTCAAAGTTCTATTAGGGCTGATTCTGAAAATGAGAGGTTTTACACATCTGACTTGCTGAGGGCCTGCTGTGTGACATCTGCTTAAATTTGATCCTCGCCACAAACCTACAAGATGTCACTCAGAACTGAGCCCAGGACCTTCGGACTAAGCTACATTCCCAACTCTTATATATATATTTTTTGAGACAGTCTTGCTGTGCAGTTCAGACTGGCCCTGAACTCACTATGTCACCCCAGCTGGCCTTGAATTTACAGTGATCTTTCCGCCTCAGCCTCTGGGGTGCTGTGTCGTGAGTGTCTAGGGCACTCTGAACTCTGGGAAAGGTAAACACGCAAACACGCCTGATCGGGACACGGGGGGTACAGTGCTCGGAAAAGACAGGAGACACGGCACCTTTACTGCCTGCACCGCGTTACACTGCACTGTACCCACAATCTTTATTTTAAGATTCATATATAGTAAACCGGATCAGTTCACAGAGCCCAGATAATTAAGTGAAAAGGCATTCTTTGTGGCAAGCTACAACGTGACAGACTACAATGTTTATTCTAAACTATCTAAGTGAAGTAAATAACCACAACCAGTTTTCATAACTTCTCTAGCCCAGGAAGAAATTTATTAGCTCAAGAATGTTGTTAATTTGTCTGCTGTTAGTGTCACAAAGGGTGGCCAGCCACTTCCTCAAGACTTCTGCAAAACAAAGCCAGCTCACAGTATGGATTCCAGAGGGTGAGGGATCTCACTGAGAACAGGCATTCCTATTCTACCTCGGTCTCGCATACCAGGGGGGCTATTGTAAATTGCAGGTTAGAGGGGGTTGGGCCTACAAAGTGACACCTCATCCCCCACAGTGCTGGGATTACAGGCATGCACCACTGCACTTGGCTATTTTTAAATTTTGAGACAGGGTCTCATTAAGTCACTAAGTTGCCCAGGCTGAGCTCAAACTTGCCGTTTTGCTCAGCCCCAGAGTATTGGGACTATCTTGATTAATAAAGGAACAGACAAATTCAGAGGGTTTTAATTACTTTCTCAAGGTCACAAGACAGTCGAGTTTGACATCTAAGATATGCAGCTCTCCACGGCCATGTGCACACATCCTGCATGCCATGATGGGTGGTCTCCAAAAGACTCCTGGTGCAGCGGAGGCAGAGATCACACATGCAAACAGCAAGGGATCTAACCACGCAAGGAACCTGCCTTAAGAATACAGTACAAAGGGCTGGGGATTTAGCTCAGCGGCATAAGCGCCTGCCTTCCAAGCAGGCAGTCGTGAGTTCCATCCCTGGTACCGATAAAAACGAAAAAGACCAAAAAAAAAAAAAAAAAAATGAATACAGTACGAGTAGAAAGCATTACACAGGTGCACTGGACAGCTTTGTGTTCCTCTAACGAAGAACCTAAACTAATTAATACATAAAAAGATTACTTTGATGCATGGTTCTGGGGTCTCCAGACCTCAAGACTGGGCAGCCCATTCCCTGGGCAAGGGTGGCGTGACTTGGAGGGAGCATGTGACAGAGCAAGTTACTGGTGTCACGAACCAGGAAGCAGAAAGCACACATTGAGTGAGAGTGTCAGTCCCTTTCCAGTCACGGCCCTGGTGACCCAAGGACCTCCTGCGAGGCTCCTCACCCTAAGGGTTCACTGGACCTTTCCCCAGCTCCACCCGTGAATGAAGCTTTTAATAGATGGGTCTTGGGGGCACTCAGTGTCTAACCCACTGCAGGGAGCAAATCTACGGCACGCAGGAAGCACTGAACCCCAGCAGACGGATTTAGCCTGGCCATGCGGCCGCGCCTATCCCTGGGCCCGCCGGTCCTTCCCCCACCGAGCTGCTCGATGCTTTAGCCCTGTCCATGCAGCTGCTGTGATTGTCTTCAGCTTAAACAGTGCGCTCAACTCCAGCCTGGACCCCCGACTCCTACACTGGTCCTCCTGTGTGTGGGCGGTCATCAAAACAACCATTTCTGGAGGAGGACAAGGGCGGGAAGTTCCTACTCTGGCCTCCTGCCGATGCCACTCTCTGAAGTTATTTTTAAACGAATAAAATATTTTAGTGGAGGCCTTTGTTTCCCTGGGTTCCGTAAACGACCTCTTTTCCTCCTTGGCCCACTGTGAAATCATAATCCCTTTGACTCCGGGTATAACTGATTACCGGAATTCTTTTAAGAAGGTATATACAAAGTTAGCATTAAAAAAATAAATTTATTTTAAGTCTGAAATAATGAAGAACAAGCATATGGACAAACTGTAAAAAGAACAAAATGAGAACATGAATAAGGTTAACCCAAGCATTCGTCCAGCTAATACACAGGAACGTATTTTCACAGACAGTTCAAAAAGACTTCTCTAACAGTCTCAGAAAAACAAAAGCTACATTTGCAACATTTATAAATGCAATAGTTCCTGAAAGCATCCAGGGTTTCTTTAGGCATCTGATTAAAACACATACAAGTGATGATCACCTATGCTATTTTTGAAAGTTACAACATACAATTATATGACATTCTTATTAGACATAATTTACACAAAAGTACAGAAAATTATCAATTCATTTTACATTCGGTCACTCATTTCACTTCCTTTTAAATAAGGGCAAATAAAACATGTATGTATGTGTTTTAGAAATAAAGTACTCCAACTTTCATCTGTAATTTGTTTAAAACCTCAAACTCAGTAAGCATGTGATTATTCTAAACAGTAAACATAATTATTTGGGAGGAACCTTAAGATACATTTTTGTCCAACTTAATCCATTATGTAAATATCAAGAGAAGCTAGCGACGCAGCATACTCTGTCTGAGCCTCTACAGACTGACTAAAAGGAGATCTGAAATCCTTGCTATTCACAGACTAAAAATCACAGTTGTTCACTCAACTGTCCAGGGAATTTTTCCTACCTATATTTGAGTTCCTGTGGTACACTGATTTAGTCTACTCCATAGTGAACGGTATTTAACATAATAAAAAGATCTATGAGCTGGGCGTGGTAGAACATGCCTATAATCCCAGTACTTGGGGGAGGCTACAGTAGGATGATTGTTGCAAATTCAAAACCAGCCTGGGCTACAAAGTGAACTCAAGGCCAGTCTGAACTGCATAGCGAGGCCCTGTCTGGAAAAGACAAAAAAATAAAAAGATCTCTGAGATCAGGAAAATCCTGCCTGGAAAGGGTAAATAACTTGTCCAGAGTTACAATGACTAAGAGAAATACACCCAGAACATGGAACTAGGGCTCCTGATTCTTAGTAGGCCCTTTTGGTGGCAGAATACATTCTTTAGGGTCAGATTCTACACAGTTTACAGCCATTTGATTGCAGATTACAGATAATCAGCGCATATATTTCACTGAAAACCGTTATTCACGTGAACATGTGTGTTACCTGACTGGGTTTCTGGTGCGCATAACATACTGAATACCATGGTGGCACAAACATCACAACTGTGAAGACAAGTCCCCACAGCCTGGGGCGACACTGAGGTTCTCTCTATGACAGGACACAGAGGCGGGCACTGTGGGGTGCACAGGATCTTGCTCTCTGGGCCTGCGCACTGGGCAGGGCAGCCCCGCACAGTGCTGCAGATTGGACCCAACCGCGGCTGCTGGGGCGCACCCTCCCAGGGAGCACAGTCACAGGAAGGTGCCGCGTGACAGTCACGTCGGGACAGTCAGGGTTTCCAAAGGTCCCCACTAAGTGGAGACACCCAGGTCATGGGAAGTCACAGATCTTCGAGGCAACAAGGCAACCTTGCAGGACCTGACACAACACATCATGAGACCATAAAAAATATACATTGAATTTTTTGCTAGAAAGTTACGTCTTGACAAAAGGCGGCAGTAAAAAATGACACTGGGTATAAAACTCCTCTGTTTCAAGCTGGACCGGAAGACTACGTGTCAGCATTGATCCACAGAGGGAGGCAGCACACTGATGTGCCCTCCCTCGCATGGTTCGGATGCAGTTCCACGGCCACAGCCCGTCTGGCCACGGTACAGGACGCGGATTCTGTGGCCTCTGCCACGGCGTCTCCTACACAGCACTTTGCGAAAGAAGTACACGAACGGAGCAAATGGCACAGTGACCCGGAGCCCGCCCTGCGAGGGCACAAGTGCTGCCGAGCCTGTAGCAGGACTCCCACGCTGTGCTGTTACCCGTCGCGGTGCTGGCCCTGGTCCCACGAGGGGTGTCATACACAAACCACATGCCCTTTTCTGGGTCTCACAGGACCGGGCCCCACTGCGTCACCACAGAAACTCCTCCAAACCTCCATTTTCTTAAAAAAAAAACAAACCCAGGGGACTGAAGGCAGGGCTCCTGCACACAGGTAGGGGCCCCAGGCCTGCTCCGCTGGGCCAGGGAGGGACTCCCTAAGCTGCCCAAACTGGCTTCAGACTTAGGATCCTCTGGCCTCAGTTTCCGAGTAGTTGGGGTTCCAGGTGTGCACCACCACGCCCGGGTAGAAAATACTTCTAAAGGAAAAGTGGCAGGTACGGTGCTGAAGCCTGTAACTCCAGCACCTGGGAGCTGAGGCAAGAGGATCACAGTAGTTTCAAGGCCAGCCTGGACCACACAGCACCTCAAAAAAAAAAAAGTCAACAGATTCTTACAGGCACGATGCACGACTGAAGACGGGTCACCAATTAGGGAATGGTAGTGTTAACATGATGTAAGCAAAAATATTCTAGGTAGAATATTACTTAAATAGTTAAGCAAAATAATAACTATTTATTCTGAGCTCATAATTTTCAAGTAACCGTTCGCCCCTATGACTTCTCCATGGAGTCCTCCTGGTCACTTCTACCCGCAGGTCATCACGCCGCATGCCAGGCCACACATGGTACTCTCCCTTCCACTTCAGATTGACGATTCTGACTGATCAGACAGGGTGATCACCTTTGGCTTGTGATCTGTGGGGCTGTCAACTGGCACCTGGGAAAGAATCAGAACAGTCGATGTACAGCACCTGGCAAGCGCTGTTTTAATAGATCAACAGCTGACACACCGAAAAAGCCCGCTGAGAAGGCCTCACACTCGAGGCAGCCTTTTCTCAACAGTCTAATCATAAAAGCAGGCGGTACTTACAGCTTTAATCTCAGCACTTGTCACGCCGATATTTATGTTGTGTCTTCTCAGATCAGACTTGATTAAGGCTGAAACACAGAATGATAAACAGAGTTCCCATGAGTTGTATTATGGTTTCTCCACACAGCAGTCTTTAGGCATCAACAAACAGAGCACACAATAAAGCGGTACCATTTAGTAGCATCCTTGCAGCCTAGAAAAGATACCGCTGACTATCTTATTAGCAGGTCATTCATTAGTGAACAATGGGCATTCTTGTCACTAGCGCAGGTACACACCAGTACCATTGCACCATCAACTGCCACGCTGTAGATCAATACCATGCATGGTGGGCACCTGGGAGAAACAACACCTCTGCTGGCCAAAGGGCCCCAGAGAAGGCTTGGCAGAGCCACCCAGAGACCTGAGCGACACTCCAGTCCCATCCCGTGGGCAGGGCGGAGTGACAGCAGTATGACACTCACAATGAGTCCCACGGCCGAAGCACAGCCTCGAGATCATGCTGCAGGGAGGGCGTCGGGCCCGACGTGGTGGACAGGCCTGCAACACGTTAGACTGGAACTGGGAAGATCTGGGGGGTTGATGGGATACAGAGAAAATGTGGAGGGAGGAGGAAGATGGGGGCACTGGTTTCCTCGAGTATACCATTGAATGGATGGGAGCCCTAGCGACTGAAACTGCAAAACCAGGACGACAGCTGTGATGGGAAGATGGTGAGTCCAGCCTGGGTTATGGGTAGCCACAGGACACAAGGTAACAACCGAACGCTCTGGTCTGAAGTGTTGAGGGAGGTCAGGGTCTGGATACACAGATTTCTAAGTTGCCAGTGTTAGAGCTGTGGTGTGAGAGCCTTGACTTTAAAAAATCAGAAAGATCAAAACAAGTGTAAGGTAAGACAGAGGTTTGTAGGCAGTAAATAAATCAGCCATAAAGCAAAGTAGAAACAGAGACGAAAGCCAGCGTAACATGACAGTCATGCATTACCGCCAGACGATGGAGCCAGTGGGGTGGTGTCCACACAGTATGTCCCATTATCCAGTCCCACCCATGCTGCCACAATGTCAGGGCTGCGTTCTTTCCAATGGCCGAGTAATAGTCCATGGTGTATAGATACATTTTCTTTATCCATTCATCTATACTGATGGAAATCTTGATTGAATTGATATTGTGGGTACTGTGAATGGCACTGCAACAAACAGGATTTCAAATATTTTTTACATACTGATTTTTTGGATACACACTCAGTGGACCTGCTCTACCTGGTTTTCTGAGAACTCCAGTTTCCCATTATACTAAGTGCAGTCCTCTCCACACCCTCTCGGCGGTGTTGGCTTTGTCTTCTTGGTGACAGCTATTGTAACTGGCGTGCGATGACTCTCACTGTGGCTCCGACTTCTAGTTCCCTCTTGATTAGTACCGTTCAGCACTGTTTCGTATACTTGGCCATTTATCTTCTTTAGAGAATGTATACTGAGATCATCTGGGCGTTGTTAATTGCCATTCTGCTGTTGCACTGTCTGTTTCCTCTGCCTGCTGAGCCTGATCAGAGCTCTCCAGCATCTTCTCCTGTCCTGCAGGCTGCCTTCACTCTGCTGTTCACTTTGTCCTACAGCGTTTTAGCTTAATGCAATCTCACTTAGCAATTTTTGCTTTTGTTTTCAGTTTTTGGAATCATAACCCCCCCCCCCCCCAAAAAAAAGTCTTTGGGGCCAGACCAATGTCCTGAAGAACTGCTCTTGTGTTTTCTTTTTGTAGTTTTATAGTTTTGGGTCTTACTTTTTTTTTTTTCCTGGCAACACATTTATGCAACAGAAGATACAGTCCTCCGACTTCACCGAAGGGCCCGACCACGTCCACCACCAAACCCGCTTCTAAACCGGACCTTGGTGGCTGATCTGGCCCCGGCCTCAGCCTTGTCACTGGCACCTGGGGACACGTGCTGGGTCCACAGGTGTCTCTGCCGGGCTCCCCTCATGTGAGCCTCACGGATCGCTCACCCTGCACAGCTCGGGGCCAGCTCTGTAGTCCTGGGCCTGCTGTGAGACGGGTGACAGGCCCGACCTCAGGGGCAGGTGGAGGTAATCGTGGAGGCGCTGCATGCTCTCACCGGTCAGGTACCAGAGGCGTCTCTAGGCAGACTGTCCCTTAACGCAGCATTGGGGCTGGTGAGACTGCGTGGCCTTCAGGTGTGTTTCTGCCTGCCGGCTCCAGGCTCCTGGACACGTACATGTTTTCCTCCTTGGCCACCAATACGCCCTCCCTAAAAAACAGTTCGTAATGCTGACCCAGATCTTCTCAGGGATCAGTATGGCAGTGGCCGTGGCGTCCGAGACCAAGGCTAGAAAGGAAAGGTGGGCCTTATGCCTAAGTCTCTGACTCCCTGTCGGGTGGTTTTGGTCCATTCTGCATCCTCGCACACGGACGCTGTGTTCCCAGCATCCCTCACTGAAGAGACTTCCTTTCCTCAGCGTACGTCTGGCCGTCTCTATTGGGAACCCTCGGGCTGCAGGTGTGTGGCTTTATCTCGGGGTCTCTGTTCTGTCCCCACCGTGCCTTGCAGAATGTGCAGAAGTCAGGGACCGTGAGGCCAATTTCACTCCTTTTGCTCAGTACTGCTTCAGTTCTTGGGGGATTTCTGTGGTTCCATAAAATTTTAGGTGTTTTTCTATTTCTGTGAACATCACTGTCTTGGTGATAGCACTGACTCTGTAGACTGTCTTTGGCAGTATGTACGTCTTAATGTTAATCCATCCAATCCATGAGCACATGGCCTCTTTCCCCTTTTTCATGCCTTCTCCATCTCAATCAGCATTTTAGTTTTCGTTGCATAGCTTTCTTTTCTATTTATTCCTAGGTATTTTACTTTTTTGTAGTTATTATAAATTAATGTCTATAGATTTCTGTTTTATCTGACATGAGCATAGCTACTTCCGTTCACTTGCAATTTTTGCTTATACTTTACTTTCTCTCTGCGTCTGTCTTCTGCCTGTGGAATGAACTTGTAAACAACATATTACTGGGTCTGTTAACACAATAGCCCCTTAAATCCATTCAGTTTATCTAACCCTTTTAATCGAGATTGTGATCTGTTTATAAAGTTACCATGGATACTAACAAGCTATTCCTGCCATTTGTCAATTATTTTCCTGCTGTATGTATATCCTTTGCTTCTTCCTTGCTTCCTGTTATTCTTGGTGGCTGGGTAGTTTTCTATGGTCACAAGGTCTGATTCCTTTCTCTTTCTTGTGTGTCTACTGTACCGGTGGTTTTAATAATTTTGTGTTGCAGTATGAGTAGCTGGTGTCCTTCTGCTTCCAGCTGGACACGTAAGTATTAAAATTTCTTCAGTTTTCATATATCTGGCACCATGTCCCCTTCATTTCTGAAGGACGGCTTTACTTACTGGGTAAAGTATTCTTTCTTATTTTTTTTATTTTAAAGAGAACAAAATAAAACAAAGTAGAACAGAACAATGCAAGCAACACAAGACCACAGGACATCAACAGTGGCTACCATAATGTCTCTTGTTTTCTTTGAAACACTTAACCACACCTTCACACAAAATAATAGCAAACATGACAAAATAGTATAAAATCATTCAAGAGAATGAAACATTAAAACCAGATAACAGGAAATGAACAATGGCTACTATAATATCTTGTTTTCCTCAAAAAATTGTTCATACTATCACACACAATCAAGTCAAATAAAACACAACAGGACAGAACCAATCAAAACAGAAGAACAAAAGCATGGTGGGGGAGGGAGTCTGGGAAGATGGTGGGACAGTAAGCAGCAGAGTAAACAGCCTCTCTGAAAGTAACAGTCCAGATGCTGGAGTATAGCATTCTGGAGAAGGCAAGAAGGAAAGAAATGGGCCCCCTCAACCCAGGAAGAAACTAAAGTGAGAACTGAAGGTCACTGAGAGAATTAAAAAAAAAAAAAAAAAAAGAAAAGAAAAACTTAAACAGAAGAAGGCAGTAGCTGGCAGCACTTGCACCGGAGCCAGAACCACCGTGCCAGAAGCGCTACTGGAACCCGGAGATGCACGGGCACAGTGAAGCTGGTGGCTGGCAAGCCCGAAGGCCTTAGCAGGGAGGCGTGGTGGCGGAGGGGAGCAGCAGACCAGAGAACTGCACTGGCTGGTGGTGAATGTGTGGGACTCAGTTCTCCCGTGCAAGTGGGAGATTGGCGGGGCACCATTTTGGAGTTGGGCAGGAAAAGCCTGGAGACAGAACTGCAGCCAGCTTTGTTCAGCCACTCCTAGCTCAGAGCAGACTGGTGGAAATTGCTTGGACTGAGTCCCGCCCCTCTGCGCAGTTAATAGCCATTGCGGAAGTTTCCCTAAAGCTATCCCTAACCAACCCCACCCACCCGGCTCACACTACAGTGGTGAAGACTCCCTGTGGTTAACCAGCTCAGAAGGCAGGGGCCAGCCTGCCCCGCCCCTGCTTACACTCCAGTAGCCACCAGCAGACTGGGGAAAGCAGCAAACAGCAGAAATCCCTAGCCAACACACTTCAGAGTAATTATGACCAGTACAGGAAGTGCCAGGGACCCCACTACCCACTTGTCTTGTTTTGACTGACGTTATTTGAATCTGTTATGTTTGATAGTATCAAGTCTGAGGGTATAGGCAACTACTTTGAAGACAGTAAGATTCACTATGATACCCATTCTGGTTTGACTATTATCTTCTTAATGTCTCCAATATTTCATTTTTATTGGTTTTGTTCTGTACTGTTTTTTCAATTTGTTATACCTGATGATATGGGAAGTTCTTTTGAAGATAGCAAAAGGCATTATGGTAACCATTGTTGATCACCTCGTATTTTGTTTTTACATCATGTACTATGTCCATCCTTTTGTTTTGACTGACTCTATTTTGTTTTGTCACATTTGGTTTTATTCTCTTCAAAACAAACTAAAAAAAGTAATAAAAACTGTAGGAGTAATAAAACCCAAAATGTGGGTTGTAAAAAGGGAGAAAAAGAAAATGCTCTAAAGGATATAACTGCATGTATGTTCAAGTGTGTAAGATAGATAATGATATTACTAAGTTTATATT